GGGGGCTGAAAATTGAAGCTGTTGTGCAATTATCCCAGAAAAGTTTAAAAATGGAAATCTAGAAAAAAGGAAAATCACTTCCCTCTGGTCCATTGCTTATTATTAGGATATTAATATTCTTGTTCATTTATGGTTTACATATTTGATTATATTTTTTTCTAAAGTTGTTTTTGTAATAAAAATGTGAAATCACAGAAGAATAACTTTCTGAAACCTTTTTTGTCCATATATACCAACTTTAATTTTGTTAAGCAGGATGGTCAACCTTAATTATTCAAATATAAGTTATAATTACAATTTCAGAACATCGCAGTCACATTAGCTACAAAGGAACAATGCCAGTTTTCCTGGACTTGGAGGACATCTTGTGCCTGATATTTGTGAGAACACGTTCCCAGTGCCAAAAACGACAAAATAAACTTCCGCCTGTCCACCTTACTAAATATCAGGCTTTTTGAGGCTGCATTTGTGTTTGGAACTACTTTCCTTTGGAATTTAGACTTTGTTAATTCTGTACCTTTAAGTTTTAAGAGCAATGCCAGGCAACAGAAGATGGGATATATCTGCTGTACCCAAAGAAGGGTATTTGGACAGATACATTGCTACACCAGTAATCTGGATAGCGAAATCTAGATATGACCCACCTGTCAAATTTTAATTTTCTTTTTTTGTGTCACTTACGAAATGCTGATGTGCACGTGTGACCTTCAGCAGTCATTATTATTCTAGATTGGCAGCATTATTAGTCTACATCTGAGATTAAATCTAAAGATACAACTGCCTAATTTGACAGGGAATGTTAAGTTTATTGAATTTCAAATATTGTGGTGCATATATAGCACTCAATAAAGACTCTATATTTTTATATTTAACAATTTATTGCTGAATATCAATTTAAAATACAATACAATATAGAAGCATACAATCTAAAAAGTGTTTTTACCAGTCCTTCATGAAAAAATATTTATCATTGTTTAATGATTTTATAATATTTTATTAAGAACAGCAACAAGTGTAAAATTCATTCTTAACATCAATATGTGCAGAAATATTTGCTATCTTTCAAGTCAAATTTCAAGGTGTTTCCATTCCTATTGTTCTGTGAATTCTCTTGGATATATTCTGTCCCTATATTTTTCTGACATCGTAAATGGAAAAAAAATAAGCAAACATCAACAACAAACAAACAGCTGGAATAGGTTTACTTAATATCACAGAGAGCGGCCACTCCTCTCAAGGTCCAGTGGTCTGGGCTGACGGCAGTACGCAGGACAATAAAAGTGATATAGGTGAGATCTGTGCGATGTGGCTTCTTATACACAGGACACTGGTACAGCTTAGGGTCTTTGGGGGCCGTGGAGTTGATGGCATACATGTGGACTACTGGCATCTGGACAAAGAGGACTTTGGGCTGGGAGTCCACCAGGCGGCAGTTCTTTCTGTCCCAGGCAGCACCGTCTAAGTATAGGCCATAGATGTAGACACCCTCCTGGGGGTGAGAGATACACAAAGTTAATGTGAACTCTGGTTATGTTCATGGTTGTTTCATTAATGTATTTATCTTACTCAAATTTACTGTCTTCTGAATATGTTATTCAGTAAACAACTGTAAAATGACTCATATTACAAAACTGTCAACTCAATCAAAGCATTCTTACAGCTAACCAATTATAGGTCATTTTAGAAATTATTGTACATACGACTACTGCATTTTTATCACATAACAAGTTTTCATCTAAATAAATAATATCAATAACTCATCAATACACGTACTGAAGGAGCAGAGGTGACATCTTCCTTGAGATACTTGGTGACATCATTGTGCAGTGTAACAGAGTCTAGAGCCCAGCCTTTGTGAGCTCTTGTTACTTCCTGTCTCATGGCTGTCAGGAAACCTGCAAGTATACAGGATTTATAATTATCAATTAAACAAGGTACATGCAACTTCAGGATTATCAAGTATACAGGGTTATGTAGTTTGCATTTCGAGGTAACTTTAGGATTATCAAAAATACGTTTCTTCTGTCTTGTTTATGGATGGCACTTCACAATAATGAAACAACTATAAAACAAGCTCCCTTAAATAGGATCAAAAGCATTATGATATCAAAGCAAGTTCCATTTTTTCACAATCATTATTCTTTGCAATCAAACTGATGTGTTGTATATTCCCCATACCCTGTGGATTGAAGAACCCTGTCATCCAGAAATACTTAGGTCTGCCCTCAAAGATCCATGTGAAGAACTGGTCATTTCTCTCCAGCATCTCAGTAAACCAGAAGCCCAGTGTGGTGGACTGCCAGGAGATCTTCCTCCACAGGGCTGGCACACGGGCATCATACATGTTGTCCAGGGCATCTCTCAGGTTCTGAGATGTAGTGGAAGTGAGATTACTGTGGTGATATGATGAATTATTATGACCTTATATCATTAATACATTGGACATTTTAAAAGCTACACTGACACACCTTACAAAAAATAAATAAATAAATAAATAAAATAAAATAAATAAATAAATAAATAAATAAATAAATAAATAAATAAAAAATACACACACACTCACACAAATACTTCAATTTTTCTTTTACAGGGAAAGTTTATCTTTCCAATGAAATTGGAACATATTTATTCAACATCTGGTTACACTGAACAATGATCCCTGTATCTTTCATCACACCCATAATTTTGGTCAGGTGGCATGTGTAAAAATCTTCAAGTGGGCTGTAACCATAAGAATTCTAAATCATGATGTAAGTTTAGGAATAAGTCCTGATTATTTGGTTATCAGACAGGAATATATAACCATGTTAAGTAATCTTTACCTCACTCATGATAATGGTACCCTCAATGGCCAGTTTCAGGTCTGAGAGAGTGGTGCGTACCACAGTGATCACCTTCTGCATGCGGTCTATCTCTTGTTTCAGGAAGATATTCAGAGGCTGCAAGATACCCATCTTCTTCAGTCTGTCCCTGACCTAGAAATAAACAACATTCATTACCTTCATACCCTCGTTGTTATCCCAACGTGACAAAAAAAAACTGTTACAATAAGAAGCACGAAGATTAAAATCATTTCTTGCAGTGTTCAGCATGTGAAGAAAATAATATTAATCAAAAGGTAATGTTACCTCATGAGGCAGGTAGTCCTGAGGTAGCTTAGATAACATATCATCTGCCAGCTTGAAGACCACACTCTCCCTGGTCTCTCCACCTCCTCCCCCACCCTCCTTGGGCTGAATGTTCACTATGGTGTCCAGGACCTCCTTGGCTGTGTTACCCTGGTAACTGGAACATAATAATTATAACCATTGACACAAGTACTTATCAATCCTGTAGAACAAACCACTGATTATAGAGTATTGTTGGCAAAAATTTAAGTTTGCATTTTGCTTGAAAATTGTTGCAAACTTCGCCATAAATTCCTCTTAAGAGCTCGTCCACGAGAGAACCAGCCCAGGGTGGCAAGGTGGGGGTCAGCGGATTTCAACCAAATTTGTTGTATGGAGGCATATTAGGAAGTTATTCATGAGTTAGGAAGGAATCCCAAAAATATCCTTTCTTCAGAGAATTATAGCCTATTATAAGTCATGGCTTATGTAGCCTCTTTGAGACTCCATTTTTACCTTGGAAAAATAATGATATATTTTGTGTAAATTAAACAAAAATGGAGAAAACTAAAAAATATTAGACCTTACAAACATTAAAAACAATCATTTGGCTTGCCGNTCAGATATAGTTCATATAAAGGTTCAAACACACCAAATATGATGTAAATCCGTTCACCCCCACCTTGCCGCATTTTCTACATTTGGGTTGGTTTTCTCGTGGACACACACTTAATTATGAATTTTAAATAAGTGGTAAAACTTAGAAACTGATGAGAAACACCTGATATCAAGCTTGCAAATAAATAAGATTTTAAACATTGTTCTAATGATTCTTTGTGGCAAAAAAATTTTCTCACGTCTTCATTTGATTTTTTTTTAACAGAGAGTTAAAAATAAAAGCAGTTCTCAAAGACATTACAAACTAGTTTTTTTTAACAGAGAGTTAAAAATAAAAGCAGTTCTCAAAGACATTACAAACTAGTGTTAATCAAACTTATCAGCACTTACGTGATGTCTGCATTGGGGTGCAGACCAAAAGCTTCAGGTGAGTCCACTGTGGGGAGTTCTTCTATGAAGGCCAAATGTTGCTCCACAGTTTTACACTTGGGGATCTTATAACCAATGTAGAACTGGAAGCTGTCACTAAACATTGCATCACAGAACCACACCTAAACAAATAGCAGCAGGGTATTAATTTAAGTCCACACCCCAGTATACTATGACTTTGTTAGGTTTTGTACTTTAATCCATTTAATTTCAGCCTTTCTAAGACTTGATTTCATGTGAGCATAGATGCAGGTTATGGTCACTGCCATGCCATAAAGCCTGTCTGCACAAGGTGTAGTAAAGGGCTTCTTAACCGGATTGGATTTTCAGTTCCAAATAACCAGAATTTTTCACGTTTAACACAATCTTATACACCAGTCAATCACCTTAGCAAATGTATTAAGGAGTCTCTTGTCATAATCATCAGTGACCCTCCCTCCATACTGTACTTCTCCCAGCATATAGCGGACTGTGTTCCAGGAGGGGCCCTGGGGAAAGACATGATAATAATGACGCCAACAAATGGAAAACAAATGGGGCTATTGTTAAAGAACTGCTAATTTTATAATTATTTTAACTTGCATTTGGTGAATATTAACCTGTTATAATCATACCACAAAAAATTGCAACAGCATGATGAGATGAAACATTCTGGACAAGCATGTGAAATTGCTTCGAAACAAATTATCAAACTGGTAAACTAAACGTTTTTAAAGCTTTTTAAGAGAGATAATAGATATAATGCAGGCAATTATTAAAAAATTAATAAAAAGAAAACTGGGCTTATGAACCAGAGCATAACTCCTACTCATCCACCATTTAATAAATAAATAAATAAATAAATAATCTACAAATCCTTACCTTCTTGACGTCCATGTCATCCAAATGGTTCTGGATAAACTGCACACTGGCAGTCAAGTCAGCAGAGTTGAACTCATATGGAATGTTCCAGCCAAGAGGACCAAACTTACGACGCTCCTGGAACGTAGAGATTATATATACAGACACAAGTCAGCTGGTGATCATCAAGAAAACAAAATGTAACTAAGACCCATTTCTATAGACACCATCAGACTATGTATGTGCATCAATCCAACTCCACGGAGACTCAATATATACTCAAGGATATATACATCAAACCAGAATATTGTATCAGACTATTAGATTTAACTGTAAGACTAGTTGCTGTCTTCAGACCTGTCTTAATGTAGTCTTACCTGTACCACAGTGTGTAGGAAGGAGACAGTGTACAGCATAGGTTTCCACTGAGGCATACTGCTGATATCCAGGAAATCCTGGGAGAAAGCGACATAGGTCCTCATCAAACCAGCCTTGATACCCTGGGGTGGCTCATTGGTAAATTTGATGGAAGCCTAACTCATGAAATCACAGAAAACAGGGGTGATATCATTGCATTCACTTTTGTTTTCTTTATTTCTTTTTAGTTTTTGCAAAATTGCAGATATACAGAGATGAATTAAGGTAGTTCTTAAAAAATAAATCCTGAAAATGGTGCAGAAGAAGGCAAGCAAGCATGCAGCTCTACATTTGCTGTATGGTGGTCTGGGATCATAAGTACAACACCCAAACATCCCTTTTTATGGATAAAGACTTCAATTTCTCTCACTATATGTAAATTAAACTGTTGGAAAGTGAAACAGAACTCACATAGGTCCTCATCAGACCAGCCTTGATAAAAAGGTCATGGGTTTGATGATTGAACATATATTACACACATATATAACTGAAGTTGATGAGGAACTTGTCATAAACTTAAACAACACTGCCAAACACACCTGTAGTAAACTAATGGGAAACTTGTCATGGACCTCTGTAGTAATCCACACCCTGAAGCCCTCATGGATAGTCTCTGTGTCAGTCAGTGTCTCCAGGAGTTCATCCATAAATTCCAGACCCAAGTGACAGTTCTGAAGCAGTGCCCAGCCTCCCTGGAATGAAGCAAAGCAAAAGGTATATCTTGGCAACTAGTGCCTAATGCAATTGCTCATGTCCCAAGGCAAACTTTAAAATCTAAATACTTAAACATAAAACTGTCTACTTACTGACTGCATAAACAAGGCCACCAGTTTCCTGGCGTGTACCTCCTGACCCTGACCCATGGAGATGGCTCTGCATTCTGAAGTTATAATGACATACTCAATCAACAACATGTACATTCATAATATTAATTAATATACTGAAAATATTTTTTACTTTATGAAAGATGATTTTGCTAAAGGAAAATAATTTTGAAAGAAAAAATATATGAGAAGGTTAATTATTAAATATTTGTGTTGAGAAATGTCTTCACTACTGACCAGCATATATGGTTTCTTATTAAGAATTACTGACCAGTATGCAGTTTCTTAGCCAGCCCCTCAATCTGGTTGGTGGGGTCAGAGCCCATGGACAGGAGACAGATGAGAGGTGTTCTGGGGTCACTTTCCCCCCAGGTGGCCTCTAGGTTCAGGATGACAGGATCTGCATATCTCTTCCCCATAGAGTCAGCTATGTACTTCCTGGCCTGGGCCATAGTACGGTCTGGACACCAGGACCTGTGAATATTATATATCACAATATAGAGTCAGCTATGTACTTCCTGGCCTGGGCCATAGTACGGTCTGGACACCAGGACCTGTGAATATTATATATCACAATATAGAGTCAGCTATGTACTTCCTGGCCTGGGCCATAGTACGGTCTGGACACCAGGACCTGTGAATATTATATATCACAATATAGAGTCAGCTATGTACTTCCTGGCCTGGGCCATAGTACGGTCTGGACACCAGGACCTGTGAATATTATATATCACAATATAGAGTCAGCTATGTACTTCCTGGCCTGGGCCATAGTACGGTCTGGACACCAGGACCTGTGAATATTATATATCACAATATAGAGTCAGCTATGTACTTCCTGGCCTGGGCCATAGTACGGTCTGGACACCAGGACCTGTGAATATTATATATCACAATATAGAGTCAGCTATGTACTTCCTGGCCTGGGCCATAGTACGGTCTGGACACCAGGACCTGTGAATATTATATATCACAATATAGAGTCAGCTATGTACTTCCTGGCCTGGGCCATAGTACGGTCTGGACACCAGGACCTGTGAATATTATATATCACAATATAGAGTCAGCTATGTACTTCCTGGCCTGGGCCATAGTACGGTCTGGACACCAGGACCTGTGAATATTATATATCACAATATAGAGTCAGCTATGTACTTCCTGGCCTGGGCCATAGTACGGTCTGGACACCAGGACCTGTGAATATTATATATCACAATATAGAGTCAGCTATGTACTTCCTGGCCTGGGCCATAGTACGGTCTGGACACCAGGACCTGTGAATATTATATATCACAATATAGAGTCAGCTATGTACTTCCTGGCCTGGGCCATAGTACGGTCTGGACACCAGGACCTGTGAATATTATATATCACAATATAGAGTCAGCTATGTACTTCCTGGCCTGGGCCATAGTACGGTCTGGACACCAGGACCTGTGAATATTATATATCACAATATAGAGTCAGCTATGTACTTCCTGGCCTGGGCCATAGTACGGTCTGGACACCAGGACCTGTGAATATTATATATCACAATATAGAGTCAGCTATGTACTTCCTGGCCTGGGCCATAGTACGGTCTGGACACCAGGACCTGTGAATATTATATATCACAATATAGAGTCAGCTATGTACTTCCTGGCCTGGGCCATAGTACGGTCTGGACACCAGGACCTGTGAATATTATATATCACAATATAGAGTCAGCTATGTACTTCCTGGCCTGGGCCATAGTACGGTCTGGACACCAGGACCTGTGAATATTATATATCACAATATAGAGTCAGCTATGTACTTCCTGGCCTGGGCCATAGTACGGTCTGGACACCAGGACCTGTGAATATTATATATCACAATATAGAGTCAGCTATGTACTTCCTGGCCTGGGCCATAGTACGGTCTGGACACCAGGACCTGTGAATATTATATATCACAATATAGAGTCAGCTATGTACTTCCTGGCCTGGGCCATAGTACGGTCTGGACACCAGGACCTGTGAATATTATATATCACAATATAGAGTCAGCTATGTACTTCCTGGCCTGGGCCATAGTACGGTCTGGACACCAGGACCTGTGAATATTATATATCACAATATAGAGTCAGCTATGTACTTCCTGGCCTGGGCCATAGTACGGTCTGGACACCAGGACCTGTGAATATTATATATCACAATATAGAGTCAGCTATGTACTTCCTGGCCTGGGCCATAGTACGGTCTGGACACCAGGACCTGTGAATATTATATATCACAATATAGAGTCAGCTATGTACTTCCTGGCCTGGGCCATAGTACGGTCTGGACACCAGGACCTGTGAATATTATATATCACAATATAGAGTCAGCTATGTACTTCCTGGCCTGGGCCATAGTACGGTCTGGACACCAGGACCTGTGAATATTATATATCACAATATAGAGTCAGCTATGTACTTCCTGGCCTGGGCCATAGTACGGTCTGGACACCAGGACCTGTGAATATTATATATCACAATATAGAGTCAGCTATGTACTTCCTGGCCTGGGCCATAGTACGGTCTGGACACCAGGACCTGTGAATATTATATATCACAATATAGAGTCAGCTATGTACTTCCTGGCCTGGGCCATAGTACGGTCTGGACACCAGGACCTGTGAATATTATATATCACAATATAGAGTCAGCTATGTACTTCCTGGCCTGGGCCATAGTACGGTCTGGACACCAGGACCTGTGAATATTATATATCACAATATAGAGTCAGCTATGTACTTCCTGGCCTGGGCCATAGTACGGTCTGGACACCAGGACCTGTGAATATTATATATCACAATATAGAGTCAGCTATGTACTTCCTGGCCTGGGCCATAGTACGGTCTGGACACCAGGACCTGTGAATATTATATATCACAATATAGAGTCAGCTATGTACTTCCTGGCCTGGGCCATAGTACGGTCTGGACACCAGGACCTGTGAATATTATATATCACAATATAGAGTCAGCTATGTACTTCCTGGCCTGGGCCATAGTACGGTCTGGACACCAGGACCTGTGAATATTATATATCACAATATAGAGTCAGCTATGTACTTCCTGGCCTGGGCCATAGTACGGTCTGGACACCAGGACCTGTGAATATTATATATCACAATATAGAGTCAGCTATGTACTTCCTGGCCTGGGCCATAGTACGGTCTGGACACCAGGACCTGTGAATATTATATATCACAATATAGAGTCAGCTATGTACTTCCTGGCCTGGGCCATAGTACGGTCTGGACACCAGGACCTGTGAATATTATATATCACAATATAGAGTCAGCTATGTACTTCCTGGCCTGGGCCATAGTACGGTCTGGACACCAGGACCTGTGAATATTATATATCACAATATAGAGTCAGCTATGTACTTCCTGGCCTGGGCCATAGTACGGTCTGGACACCAGGACCTGTGAATATTATATATCACAATATAGAGTCAGCTATGTACTTCCTGGCCTGGGCCATAGTACGGTCTGGACACCAGGACCTGTGAATATTATATATCACAATATAGAGTCAGCTATGTACTTCCTGGCCTGGGCCATAGTACGGTCTGGACACCAGGACCTGTGAATATTATATATCACAATATAGAGTCAGCTATGTACTTCCTGGCCTGGGCCATAGTACGGTCTGGACACCAGGACCTGTGAATATTATATATCACAATATAGAGTCAGCTATGTACTTCCTGGCCTGGGCCATAGTACGGTCTGGACACCAGGACCTGTGAATATTATATATCACAATATAGAGTCAGCTATGTACTTCCTGGCCTGGGCCATAGTACGGTCTGGACACCAGGACCTGTGAATATTATATATCACAATATAGAGTCAGCTATGTACTTCCTGGCCTGGGCCATAGTACGGTCTGGACACCAGGACCTGTGAATATTATATATCACAATATAGAGTCAGCTATGTACTTCCTGGCCTGGGCCATAGTACGGTCTGGACACCAGGACCTGTGAATATTATATATCACAATATAGAGTCAGCTATGTACTTCCTGGCCTGGGCCATAGTACGGTCTGGACACCAGGACCTGTGAATATTATATATCACAATATAGAGTCAGCTATGTACTTCCTGGCCTGGGCCATAGTACGGTCTGGACACCAGGACCTGTGAATATTATATATCACAATATAGAGTCAGCTATGTACTTCCTGGCCTGGGCCATAGTACGGTCTGGACACCAGGACCTGTGAATATTATATATCACAATATAGAGTCAGCTATGTACTTCCTGGCCTGGGCCATAGTACGGTCTGGACACCAGGACCTGTGAATATTATATATCACAATATAGAGTCAGCTATGTACTTCCTGGCCTGGGCCATAGTACGGTCTGGACACCAGGACCTGTGAATATTATATATCACAATATAGAGTCAGCTATGTACTTCCTGGCCTGGGCCATAGTACGGTCTGGACACCAGGACCTGTGAATATTATATATCACAATATAGAGTCAGCTATGTACTTCCTGGCCTGGGCCATAGTACGGTCTGGACACCAGGACCTGTGAATATTATATATCACAATATAGAGTCAGCTATGTACTTCCTGGCCTGGGCCATAGTACGGTCTGGACACCAGGACCTGTGAATATTATATATCACAATATAGAGTCAGCTATGTACTTCCTGGCCTGGGCCATAGTACGGTCTGGACACCAGGACCTGTGAATATTATATATCACAATATAGAGTCAGCTATGTACTTCCTGGCCTGGGCCATAGTACGGTCTGGACACCAGGACCTGTGAATATTATATATCACAATATAGAGTCAGCTATGTACTTCCTGGCCTGGGCCATAGTACGGTCTGGACACCAGGACCTGTGAATATTATATATCACAATATAGAGTCAGCTATGTACTTCCTGGCCTGGGCCATAGTACGGTCTGGACACCAGGACCTGTGAATATTATATATCACAATATAGAGTCAGCTATGTACTTCCTGGCCTGGGCCATAGTACGGTCTGGACACCAGGACCTGTGAATATTATATATCACAATATAGAGTCAGCTATGTACTTCCTGGCCTGGGCCATAGTACGGTCTGGACACCAGGACCTGTGAATATTATATATCACAATATAGAGTCAGCTATGTACTTCCTGGCCTGGGCCATAGTACGGTCTGGACACCAGGACCTGTGAATATTATATATCACAATATAGAGTCAGCTATGTACTTCCTGGCCTGGGCCATAGTACGGTCTGGACACCAGGACCTGTGAATATTATATATCACAATATAGAGTCAGCTATGTACTTCCTGGCCTGGGCCATAGTACGGTCTGGACACCAGGACCTGTGAATATTATATATCACAATATAGAGTCAGCTATGTACTTCCTGGCCTGGGCCATAGTACGGTCTGGACACCAGGACCTGTGAATATTATATA